AGTTAGTTATCCAAGCAACAGTCATGTGGCTTCCCTTGCTTCATTTTTTGCTCTTATTCTGACTTTTAGGGTTGCTTGGAGGAATCATTGCAAAGGAAAAGATCTCTCAGGGTGGACAAAAGGTTGCAGACTCTGAGTTCCATGGTCCTGAATGAATTCCAGCATTTCTCTTGAGATCCCCTTTGATGAAACGTCTGCCTGCTGCCATATAATCAAGACCCAGCTGCTTCTTTCTGGGCTAGCATTGGCATGTTGTGCCCCACCCCACGGTGGAGGGAAATGGCCCTCTTTCTAGTTGAGGGAAAGTGATTATTATTTTTAAGTGTGTCTGGGGTGGTGAGTCATCTTGCTTTGGATTGAGAGCTTCTCTGCTTGAAAATCTTCAATAAACTGAACATAAACAAAACTCTTTTCTTGCTTGATTGGTAAATAGAAATAACAGAATTAGGTTAAGCATCATCGTCTCATCATAATTTGCAGGGAGGTGCAGAGGCATATCTAGGTCCCTTGCACCCCGGCAAGGAGCTGTATGGGCACACACACACCAGAAAAATCACTTCTCACACATGTGATCTTGCTGCGACAGCAGCAACGCACTGCCACACACATACACATCATAATTTCCCGCAGTCTACCTTCATGCTTCCTTGCCATCTCTCCCACCACTCAGCTCCCAGCTCTTGTCTAAACTCATGACCTTATGCAGATAGTGACAGATTTCTGGGGTGACTTACAAATGTCAGATAGATTGGGAAATGGGCCCCAAGTTTGCAGTCAATTTAAAATCAGAACACACCCTATAATATTCCCATTACTTCTTAACTGACTTTCTCCTGCTTATAACTTCTGGTACATCCTATTATTATGAAGTTTTCCAGGCATTCTATTAACCCTCCAAAGGACCAGAATTGCCTTGATTTGGACGGGGTCTGCAGTGCTGAGGAAGAGCCCTTTCTCCCTACATCAGGTGCAACTGCCTTCCTGAAGCTGTCAGCTGAGGGGGAAACTCAAACGTCAAGATAGCCATATCAAGCAACACACGTCTCTCCTCTTAAGTTGAGGGGTACTGCTGGGTTTAAGCAGGGTTGGGCAATGGGGATCAGGGGCATGATGGATGAGAGAGAGCGAATGACACATCAGACATGAAACCTAAAACAGCATGTAAGGAGGAGCCCAGGGCCCTTCTGGTCCCATGTCTTTGTGCTTGAGCTTTAAAAATGGGGAAGTTCTAACTTTGCAAACAGTTTTTGGAAATATTCCTTATTTCCCCAATTGCTCAACTGAATCAAATATTGTTCTCGTGGTATGGATTTGTTTAAGCAATGCTTTCAGTTCCCCATTGCTGGTGGCCAGAAAAATATACAGAACATTTCTTTTCTTTTTTTGGCCAGAGCTTAAGGGAACTTCCAGTAAAACACTTTAAAAAAAACAACACAGTATTGCCCCTTAGCTGGACAGAGAGCATGGAGAGAGAGAGAGAAAGAATCTCTATAGACCACAGCAAGTACCCTTCCCTGAACCCCAAGTCTGCCCTGATGCTGCACCAAGTACCCAGGTTGGCACAGTTGAGCGAGACCAACTCCACCCTGCTCATCCACCCAGGTCTCAGTGACACAGGCCAGATCAACATCCTCATCTATCATCAGATCATGGGTGAGGGAGATCTTATGTATTTCCTGTTTTAATATTATGATTTTATCCTGTGAAGCGCCCCGAGACCTGCTGGTATAGGGTGGTATACCTTGTATTATTATTATTTAAATCTTATTCTGAGCTGCCCTGGCATTCAACAATAGTCACAGACCTGAGCGCTGGCTGATAGGACCAGCACAATTCCCCAGGTTGGAGGAGGGGCTGGCACTTGTGCCCCTTGCCTGGCCTGCCCCCCTCCATACCTCTCCCTACCCTAAACCACTGCGATTGAGGGGCCCTACTCCTTGTTAGGAGTTTAGCAGATTTTTAGCAGATTGTGTAGTTTAGCAGATTTTTCTTTTAACTCTTTCTGTCCAGAACACGCCTGTTTGCCAAATCTTTTTAATTTTAGGAGACAGGGGCTTCCGGCTGACGAGACTGACTTTGGAGAGTTGCCAAATTTGCGCCTTGGACATCTTCCAGCTTCCAGCGATGAAATATGGCAGCCTCCCAAGAGATCGAACAGCCAGTTATGCCAGTAATTCATGCGGGCTTCAATTTCCCCGATATCAGTTGGGACTCAAACCTGGATGAGCAATTGAGAGGATGCTCATCCAATTTGCAGCTGACACCAAACTGGGAGAGGGAGCTAATGCTGCAGAATAAAGACTCAGAATTCAAAATCATAGAATCATAGAGTTGGAATAGACCACAAGGGCCATCGAGTCCAACCCCCTGCCAAGCAGGAAACACCATCAGAGCACTCCTGACATATGGTTGTCAAGCCTCTGCTTAAAGACCTCCAAAGTAGGAGACTCCACCACACTCCTTGGCAGCAAATTCCACTGTCGAACAGCTCTTACTGTCAGGAAGTTCTTCCTAATGTTTAGGTGGAATCTTCTTTCTTGTAGTTTGGATCCATTGCTCCGTGTCCGCTTCTCTGGAGCAGCAGAAAACAACCTTTCTCCCTCCTCTATGTGGCATCCTTTTATATATTTGAACATGGCTATCATATCACCCCTTAACCTCCTCTTCTCCAGGCTAAACATGCCCAGCTCCCTTAGCCGTTCCTCATAAGGCATCGTTTCCAGGCCTTTGACCATTTTGGTTGCCCTCCTCTGGACACGTTCCAGTTTGTCAGTGTCCTTCTTGAACTGTGGTGCCCAGAACTGGACACAGTACTCCAGGTGAGGTCTGACCAGAGCAGAATATAGTGGCACTATTACTTCCCTTGATCTAGATGCTATACTCCTCTTGATGCAGCCCAGAATTGCATTGGCTTTTTTAGCTGCCGCGTCACACTGTTGGCTCATGTCAAGTTTGTGGTCAACCAAGACTCCTAGATCCTTTTCACATGTAATGCTCTCAAGCCAGGTGTCAGGGGCTCAGGAGCAGAGGCGCAGGGGAGAGAGGAAATGGAGAGCGAAGGGGAAGAATCTGAGGGCAGCGGAGGGCAGAATGACAGTGACCCGAGAGATTCCATAAGCCTCTCCAGTGAATCAGAAGATTCCCAGAAGGGGGCGCCGATGGCCAGGGCAAGGGGGGTCCCAGGGGGGACACACCAGAAGCAGGGGGCCAGCGGGGACTCCCAAAGCAGTAGCTGGAAATCAGGACCAGCTTCCCCACCAGAGCGTAGTAGGGGGGAAGAGCCCCATAGGTCAGAGTCAGCGTCTCCTCCGGCAAGCAGGGAGGAGGAGTCAGACCCAGCTAGCATCCCCGAAGAGGGAAGCAGCGACAGGAGCAGTATAACGGTCAGAAGGAAGGTGGCAGGCTGGGCGCGCGTGCCAAGTTCAAATGTACAGGCGCGCGGGACAGCAGAAAACCCGGATTGGGAACCAGGTCCTAAAGCTCGCTGGAGGGAGGGGGAAGACTCAGGGGACTCAGCATCAGAAGAGTCTAGGAAGGGCAAGACCTCGGCGGACAAGCGGACCCAGAGGAGGAGGGAGCAGAGGAAGAGGTGGAGCAAGGCTAGAGTCTTAAACTGGTGTCTGGGGGGAGGAGACTCAGACGGAGCTTCGGCGGTCTAGGGTTTAAGACGTAGAGCTGCGCGCCGTGGCTGTAAAAGAGAAACTGAACTTCAATAAAGACTATTTTATATAACAACGGACTGGCGTTGGTCCTCTGTGAGCTGGGACCTGAGGCAGCGCTGACACCAGGTGTCCCCCATCTTGTATTTGTGCCTCTCATTTTTTTTGCCCAAGTGCAATACTTTACATTTCTCCCTGTTAAAGTTCATCTTGTTTGTTTTGGCCCAGTTCTCTAATCTGTCAAGGTCATTTTGAAGTGTGATCCTGTCCTCTGGAGTGTTAGCCACCCCTCCCAGTTTGGTGTCATCTGCAAAATGACCATAACAGATTGAAGAATTTGGCACAAGCTAACAAAATGAATTTCAATAGGGACAAATGTCAGTTTCTGCACTTAGGCAGGAAGAACCAGATGCACAAATATAGGATGGGGAACACCTGGCTTACTTGCAGTACATGTGAAAAGGATCTAAGGGTTTTGGTGGACCACAAGTTTAACGAGTCAACAGTGTGATGCAGCAGCAAAAAAAGCTAATGCTCCAGGAAGAACAATTCTTCCATTAGTGAAATAGATGTTGGTACAGCAATAAAAAATTTCCCCTCTTCCCAATTCTGTTCATGAGGGTAGGGGAAACCCCAAAATCTGTTTCTAATGGGCATGGGGGTGAGTTTGCACAAGCTTAAATCCCCGTACTGACAGCATTACTTGGTACTGGACCAAGTACAACCCATTTTCGACTCCCCCTATGGTTCTTTCTGCTTCCCCTTGCCATCATTCCGCTGCACTCCTATTTCCAGACTGCTTGCCCATGTGCTCCCCTTGTCATGGATTGGGCTGAAGAACGGTGCACACACTAGTAGTTTGCATGCAGAGCTCCTCCTGCTGGCCAGGGATATTCCTACCTGCACATGGCAATGCCCACCTTGCCCCCAAACCCACCCAAGGGGTACAGAAACATTTCTTGCTCATCACTCCTTTGTGGAGAATTTTTGTTTTGTTTTGAAGTTGCTACACAGAAATTTGACAGAAATTTTGACCAAACTGCAGGAGGCAGTGGAAGACAGAAGTGCCTGGCGTGCTCTGGTCCATGGGGTCACGAAGAGTCGGACACAACTAAACAACAAACAACACAGAAATTTGGTGGTTGTGAGTGAGTCCCCCTCTCTGTGAGCCTCAGCTTCCCTTAGGTCTCAACCTGTGTAAGTAAAACCTTTGCCTCACAGAAGAGTTGACCACAAAGACACCAAGCAAAAGCGCAAACCATTTATTGGAGTGTATCATGCAAAAGGTTTCCAGTCAAAAACGGTATATTACAAATCACTGAAAAAGACAGAATTTGACATGCATATCCATAATGCAAAAGTCTAGATGACAGTTTGCTCCAAAGGGTGGATAAGTTTATTCATGCAATGCCTGTAAGCTGCACACAATCAACAGCTTTTCCCTTTAAGCGCGGCTGTTTCAATAGGCATTTTAAGTTTCCCAGTCTTCAGTAGGAAATTCCTCTTCTCCCCCACAATTCCTCACTTGATCCCCACCTAGTATGCCAGTTGCTATAGTGAGTGCGTTGTGAAAATGGATGTACAGATGACACAGGATATCCTGGATAACAGCCTTATCGCAAGTGATGTATGGTACATGTTTGCCTGTGATGTGACCAGCTCAATGAAATCTGATGACTGAGAACTTGCAGCCAAGAAATTCCTGGGGGAGACTCCGCAAAAACACTCACACAAAAGCTGTGTCTGAAAGGCTGGTGGCAGCATTGGTCAATGAACACCACCAGGTACCTCCCCCTTCCTTCTATTCAGTGGCTGGCTGGGTGGGCTTCACAGAAAAACTCCTTTGCATGGTGATCCAGATGCAAACTGTTATCCTTGGTATAAGGCAAGAAATACACGGGAGATTTTCAAGTTCAGGCAGGAGTATATCGGGTGCTGTCTTAGAGCACTTACTGGTTCCCTGTATTTTGATCTCAGGTGCATCCAGTAAAGGGATCTGCGCTTCTCTCTCCAGGATCCCCTTTGTCCCCACTTTTATAGAAGCCACCTCTAAACCAGCCTTCATAAAGAGGCCAAGGGATCTCTGGAGCCCTCTAACACTGTCACTAGCCCCTTGAGGCAACACCAATCCCTGAAAAGACAGAGCTGCACATTTTAAATCATCTAGAAGAGCTGGCTCAAACAGCAGACTCCACTGTATGATGCCCAGCACATCACGCACCAAACCAGCATCCCTCTGACTCTACAGCACTGTCCAGAAAACCTCTGCCATCCTCCTTGGTAAGTTATCATCTAGCTGTCAATCATGATTGCCCTGGTTTTCAAAAGCATGAAGCAAGGCACATACCTACAAACATTGTCCCTCACTTCTAACCCCAGTGGACCTCCATGGCAGAGGTGGCTGTAAGGGCGTGTTCTGCAATATCAGATTCTCTAGTGTTGTTCTATCTGGACGTATAGGGTGGGATTCAACTGACGAGTCCTGTCAGTGGAAGCCCGATGCAAATATTTCCACTTGTGCAATAGAGCGTTCTACTCTCCCTCCACCTCACGTGCCCTTCCCCTACCTTCACCCACCAGTTTCCCAGCATAACTCAACTTTTAACTTCCAAGCACACAGAGCCAATGGCTTTCTCCTCAGCAACTGAATAATTGCAATTCCCATGTGGATTAGAATCCTACAAAAGTGAGCAATAACTACATTAGCTGTAATTCAGAATTCAAAAGCCCCATTCCCATTAGACATGTGGCATTAACATCCCATTTCCCCATTCCAAATGGGCAAGCATCCTGGCATATCCATAATGGTATGCTGCTTATCCAGCAGGATGGAGGCCTGGGGGGGTCTTGGGCAGTCTTAGGTAGCAGGCTGGCCTATGGCAAGGAGGGAGGATTAATGCCCACCAGTCGCCACCCTCCACAGAGGGGTTCTTGCTGCCAGATATCAACCAACCCCAGAACAGCTCATTCCTCTAACTGCATCTCAGTCACCCACTCTGAGTGCTTAAAGAGTTCCAAGTCCAAAGCGTAGATATGGCAGGGGGCATCACTGAATTTGGACAAGTAGCTTTAGGAATTGAAGGGGGCTAATGTAGCCCCAGATGCTGAAACAAGAGCCCAACCACAGTCCAAACTTTTGTCCTAAATAAACCAGCACCAATCCCCTGAGTACTCTAACTGCAGGGAAGGGGGGGAATAGCTCCAGGTGGTACCCCCCTGCCAACTTTCAAAAGGGCTCAAGCACCTCTCTCTGACTGATTGGAGGGGCTTGTGAGTGCCACTGGTCAATCAAGGCCCACCTGAGCCACAACCTTAGGCTTCCATTTGTGGGGCTTTTGTTATTCCATCCTTGCTGTGTTGTGTGGGGGTGACTGGGGGACGGTCTAGTGCTTCTAGTTATACATAAATTATCTAGAGGAAGACTGAGTTGGCAAAACTGGCAGATGACACAGGGGATAATTCACCATCAAAATATTTCTGCACTTGATTAGCTGAGGAAGGTTGGCAGATGAGTTTTCGTAGCCAAAGGTTATATATATCTATCTATATATGCTCTAGAAACTCCTCCACCTGACAATCCACAAACATGGCTGTGTGGTCTTCAGTTCCACATATTATCCTTTGTTGGCTAATGAATATTTGAACTAATTTTACAATTGTTTTTCATTTTCATTCAGTAGAGCAGAATGTTTCTCCAGTGCTGAAAATTTAAAGTCTCTCTGCTTCACAAATAGCTTTCCGCTTCCATTTTAAAATATTTTCCCTACAGGCTCCATTTAGCACGTTGAAAACAAGAGGTTGGCAGCTTTGGGGGAAATAATCTCCTTTACTCCTAAGGATGTACAAATTATATTTAACCTACATGTCTCTGAATATCATAAATCAATGAGGAAGAGGGAAAATTCAAGTTAGATCCAAGTTCCACTGCTCTCGAACTATTTATTTTTATACTCTTCTGGTATCTGACCTGCTCCTTCCATTGAAGAGCCACTCATATTGCAAGGGTGATAGCTTCAGAGTTTCTATAGAACCCTTTGTCCGTTCTTCTTTGTAGGGGATCAAAGGCCATATGGTGGACTCTGCAAACTGAGAAGTGTGTCCCTCCATGGAGTGACACCTTATAGTCTGACACTGGTAACTAAGTTTTGTCTCTCAATGGGAGGAACATGACTGAGAAATAGAGGCTGCCGGTTCTTTGGGGAGTAAGGAAATAGGCCAGCCTGCTGGGGCACATGTACAGGGATCTGCTAAGGTGCCACGGAGCCATGACCCTTCTTAGTCAGGAAAGTTTCTCAGCGGGAATGCTGCAGGGCAAAAGCACATTTCTTGTAGACAGCATAGAGAAGAAGGATGGCTCGCAGCATCTGTCGGCACATGGCCATAGCCACACGCACTTGTGGCTCCTGGAGTCCACGGGGCCAGCGCTGGCGGGGACTTATGACTTGACTGAAGGCCGAGGGCTCAGAAACCCTGAGAGAGCCAGTCCAGCGTGGGGGCTGTGCTGTCACGAGGTGTCCAAAGACAGAGTCAAGCCCTGAGAGGCGCACGACCTGTGGCCTGTGCACACTGCTGGAGCGCCCCCTTGTCTCTCCTGCGGCTCCAGGAGGTCGCGGCTGCCCTGCCCCCGTCTTTGCACCAGGCTCTAACACCAGGCTAAGTCCCTGGAAGCAAAGCTGTACTTCCAGGTCAGCTGCTGCTGGGCTCTGCCCACTTCGGAAGGGGTGCTTGGTGCCAACAGACCGGGCACCCCTCAGCCATTGCAGGGACTCATCAAGAGGAGACCAGGGTGCCCAAAGCTGGTACCCACCAGCCATGGTCAGTGCCAGCAGGCGTCCATCCCTCTGTACTGCCCAGGTTCCAGGTGCATCTTTCCTCTTCCCAGCGCCCTTGGTAACCTATTGTGAGCACAGCCAACCTAGAACTCTCCAACCAAGGCAACGTTCCAGAACCTCCTCATTCCCCAGGACGGTGTTTCCTGCAGGAGCTGTGTGTCCGTTATAAGAAATTATTTTCAGCCGAATGAAAATAGGTATAATAATTGATACTTATGTATAAAGTTACTTTATCCTTTCCCAGCAGCGAAAGAGCTCTGACAGCTACACAACGCCATCTACTGTATCTATAATGAATAACACCAATTCACAATGTCAATCCATTCAGTGAATGAGGGCTCATTCATAAAAGCTGTCAAATGGTGTTTCCCCCCCACACATTGCATGATGCCCTTCCGTGATCTACATAGTACGCATATAAGTTAAAGAACCGGGTACAGGTAAAACAATAAAGTTTATTATTTACACAAGAAATAAGATGATAATTTAAGTCTATACATTCTATATAGCTTTGCTTCCATATACTCTGGTTGGCCTCTGCTTCTTCTCTCAAACCCATATAGACCTTCCCAAGGGGCTCTATACGGGACCCCAGAAATGAGATGATTTTTTTCTTACATCTATAGTCTTCTCTCACACATTCACAGAAACACTGCATCAATTGTAGAGTTGGAAGGGACCCCTGGGATCGCCTAGACCAACCCCCCTGCAATGCAGGAATCATAACTAAAGCATCCCTGACAGGGGGCTGACTGACCTCTGCTTAAAACCTCAAAGGTATTAAGAGTCAAAATAGGATGGTAGGCAGCATAATAATAATAATAATAATAATTTATTATTTATACCCCGCCCATCTGGCTGGGCCTCCCCAGCCACTCTGGGCGGCTTCCATAAAAACCAAAAATACAATGAAATATCACATGTTAAAAACTTCCCTGAACAGGGCTGCCTTAAGATGTCTCTTGAATGTCAGGTAGTTATTTATAACTTTGACATCTGCTGGAAGGGCGTTCCACAGGGTGGGCGCCACTACCGAGAAGGCCCTCTGCCTGGTTCCCTGTAGCTTTGCTTCTCGCAATGAGGGAACCGCCAGAAGGCCATAAGTGGACAGAGTCAAATCTCTCGAAAATGCTTTGATAATTGTCCAGAACCACAGCAGAAATGTGTGCCGCTGGCATAGGCATTGTTGTTTAGTCGTTTAGTCGTGTCCGACTCTTTGTGACTCCCTGGACCAGAGCACGCCAGGCCCTCCTGTCTTCCACTGCCTCCCGCAGTTTGGTCAAACTCATGCTGGTAGCTTCGAGAACACGGTCCAACCATCTTGTCCTCTGTCGTCCCCTTCTCCTTGTGCCCTCCATCTTTCCCAACATCAGGGTCTTTTCCAGGGAGTCTTCTCTTCTCCTGAGGTGGCCAAAGTACTGGAGCCTCAGCTTCGGGATCTGTCCTTCCAGTGAGCACTCAGGGCTGATTTCCTTCAGAATGGAGAGGTTGGATCTTCTTGCAGTCCATGGGACTCTCCAGAGTCTCCTCCAGCACCAGAATTCAAAAGCATCCATTCTTCGGCGATCAGCCTTCTTGATGGTCCAGCTCTCACTACTGGGAAAACCAGAGCTTTCACTATACGGACCTTTGTTGGCAAGGGGATGTCTCTGCTTTCTGGCATGGGCATAGCCAGGATTTGGTCTGGAGTGGAACAGGCATTGCACTGGGGGCTTCAGAGCCGACTTCCTGCATCGCAACTGGTCGGGTCTTCTCATGCCTTTGCCCGCCTCCTTGACCAGCAGAATCCTCAAAGCAGCCCGGGAAGCCGGCGGCGCCCTTTCCCCGTCGGGGCGAAGGAGGCGGAAGGAGGCGGACGGCGGCCCGGGCGACCCGCCCCGCCTCTTCCTCTCGCCGCCCCGCCTCTTCCTCTCGCCGCCCCGCCCCGCCGAACCTGCCGGACCGTCGGCCTCGAGCCCTGACGTCACGGGGCGGGACTTCCGCCGCCGGGAACACCGGCCAATGACAGCGAGGCCGGGCGGGGTCCGCGGGCCACGTGACCGAGGGCGCTTCCGGCGTGGGCGCGCTCGGTGGCTCCGCGATGCGTCTCTCGGCGTCGGCGTGGATCAAGCATGGGCGCGTCTACCGGCGCCTCGGCCTGGGGCCCCGCTCGCGCCTCGACCTGCTGCGGAACCTCGTCACGGCCCTGGTGCGCCACGAGCGGATCGAGGCCCCTCGCGGGCGCGCCGACGAGATGCGCTTCTACGCCGAACACGTGAGAGGGGCGGGCGGGAGCGGGGCACGTCGGAACGCGAGAGCCTCGTAGACACGCGTCCAGGCGGGCGCGCAGCAGAGAAATGCCCGTGAAATGCCCTCCGCGTGCGCGCGGCCGTGAAAAAGCAAAGCCCTTCCTGGGGACCGTTAGCAGAATGAAACCTCTGGCGCGGCCGCATCCTCAAAAGGGTTATTGCCGAGTTAGGAAAGGGCTAAAGGGTCAAGGGGGTGGAGGGACTTGCCTATGAAGAAAGGGGGCAGCGTCCCTCCCTTTCTCATAACAGTCCAACTTGTGGGCGCCCAGTGAAGCTGCATGTTGGGAGATTCAGGGCAGGTGTACATCGTTCAACCTTGGAACTCCCTGCCACAGGAGGCAGTGATGGCCTGAATGGCTTTAAAAGGACTGGACAAAGTCCCCAATAGCTCCTAGCCGGGATGGCTCTGCTGTTCCTCCACAGCTGGAGGCAGCAATGCTTGTGAATACCGGCTGCTGCTGGAAACCAGGTGAGGGGAGCGTTGCTGTTGTGGTCGAATCCTGCTTGCAGGTTTCCCATTGGGGGCACCTGGTTTGCCACTGTGAGAACAGGAGGCTGCACTACATGAACCCCCTTTGGCCGGATCTAGTCGGCTGTTCTTACCTTGACGTCCTCTCCTCTCTCTCCTCCCTTCAGCTGATCAACTATGCCAAGCGTGGGGACACGGACCCCCAAGCAATGCGCATGGCCGACTTCTGGTTGACGGTGAGGCTGCATCCCTTCTGGGGGGGAGGGTCTCCTGCCAACTCTGCCCCCACTGAGCCCCCCTCTTTTGCCTCCCCCACCCCAGGAGAAGGACCTCCTGCACAAGCTCTTCAAGGTGCTGGCTCCTCGCTTCCAGGCACACTCCAGCAACTACACGCGCCTGCTGCGGATCCCCAACCGGGAGAACCTGGACCGGGCTGAGATGGCCGTCATTGAGTACAAGGGGAACCCGTTCCCGCCCCTCCTGCGCCCAAAGCGCGACAGCGAGAAGACGCTGGTGAATCAGCTGCTGAAGGGCTTCCGGGAGGATGCCCTGAGGGCGGCGGAAGCTCCACTCCAGGGGCGCCCATCTGAGGGCACGGCAGTGTAGACAGAAGGACAGACACCACTTCCTCCCCTTCTCCTGTCACTTGGAAGCCTGCCCACGACCTGACCTTGAGGTTGGGGAGAGGAGCTGCATTTCTTTGGGTTTTATGAGACCACCTCCCTGCTTTCATCTACTTTGCTATGCAGGTTACTCGTTTTATCTTGGGACGGGAAACTTGAAAAAAGAGAAGCTCTCTTACCTTCATGCACACAGAAATAAACGACAGCAGCCGACTGGCAAATGCCTTGGTTTCTCTGAATTCTCTTTGTGCTGCTTGCAGCCGAGTGATGGTGCTTGGTGACATATCTGGAGCCAGGAGCAGGTGACTTACTAGGACTAGGTGGCTAAGTTGGGGAGGGAGAAAACCTTATGCTGGAGTGCTCTTGCAATTTAAGACAGCCATTCTCAAACTTGTGTCCCCAGATGTTGTTGAACCACAACTGCCATAATCACTATTTAGCAGAACCAGTGGTCAGGGATGCTGGGAGTTATAGTGCAACATCTGGGGACACAAGCTTGAGGAAGGCTGCTTTAGGAACACAAAAGCGCCACCTAGCAACTGGAGCCACTGTTTGAAAACCAACCTTTGCATTTAACTAGTAACTTCCACTGGATCCCAGATCTCCCCTCTCATTAAAAGTCTTTTATTAAAAGAAGTACATCGCTTTGCTTTTTCATTTATTTTGCCCCAACATCAGAAAGAGCTTGCCGACAGTAAGAGTTGTTCGACAGTGGCACAGATTCCCTCGTGAGGTTAGGGTCTGTCCTTCCTTGGAGGTTTTAAAGCAGAGATTGGGTGACCATCTGCCAGGGACTCAGTAACTCGGATTCCTACATTGCAGGGGGTTGGACTAGATGACTTTTGGGGTCCCTTCCAAATCTACAGTTATATGATTCTATGACATTTTAAACAACTCACATTGCTACATTTCCAGCTGAGGTTAAAAGATAGGTTTTAATACACCAAAATCTCAAAGAAAGTATATTAAAGCTACACAAAACTTGAGCACTGGTAACACAAAAACCATAATCTCAAAATATATTTTGTGATGGCAATGTAAAAATGGTTATAATTGCAATTATGTGTCAGGAGTGAGTAGAACATACTTCAGTTAAACTTGACAAGCCAATTCTTTGCGGAAGCTGTTGCCTTATGGAGATGCATTTTACTTGGGCAAGTAGAGAGAGGAGGGGCAGCTTCCCATCTCCTGAGAAACCTTGGGCTGCATTGTGTCCAATCCCAGGTCCACACAGCTATCCCTTGGCAGAGAAGCGGAGGGCATCCTTAAGAACAGGAACCTACTAAAGTTGCTTAAGGCCAGCGGGAAGAACCTTTTTCTCTTGGGGTCTCCCCTTTTCTGCCTTGCTGAGGGACGCAGGTTCCTCACCCCTGGCTTAAGACATCACTGTGCTTGCTGACATCACAGACTTTAATCACTTTGCGGAGACCACAGTGTACATCAGATTCTTCAAGGGATTTTGTTTCTTAGTAGTAGAGAATAAACAGGGAGCAGCAGCTGCACAGGATACACCACTCTGAGGTATCATGCCTTCACCATCTTCATCATGCCAAACGGACCCACGGGGGTTTTTGGCCCCAGAAGCAGTCTAGGTGTTAAGAATTCTAAAAGGATTGTCATTTTTTATACAGTCATGAAGGTAAAATGCAGATTTTAAAAGTTCAAAGCTTGTTCAAGCCAAGGGAAACTTGCACCTTTTGTTCCCAGCCATCTTGGAGTGAGACTGCTGATGCAGCTCAAGCCAGATGGACATTTTGCTCCTTCACCTGACTATGCTTAAGGCTCAGGTGCCTCTGAAGCCTGAATAGTCAGAGTGGCCTTGCAGGTAGCAGCTCCAATGAACAGGCCAATTCTGGACATCTTGCGGGTCTCCAGGTAGAGTGAAGGGGAAGCAAAAGCAAGGATGGGCCAGTGCTAGGTCAGGTTGGGCCTTGGGCCGCGGCTTCCAAAGAAGGGCAATGGTGGCTTTGGTAACCAGTGGTTTCTATGTAATCCGCACAGCCGTTGGCACCCACTGGCCTGGTCCTGGCTTGTCTGGCCCCAGCAGGAGGTCCTCTATTCAGCAGGAGGGGAGTCCATCTGCAGCTGCCTGTAGGTGGAAGGGGAAGGAGGTGAGTTCTGGATCTCAAAAAACACAAGCCGAGCAACGTCTCCACAGTCAGCAGAGGGGTGGGGTGTAGCCTACCTGACAGCAGTCAACAGGGTCTGGTGCCATTCATGAAAGTCCTCCTGGTTACACGACAGCAGCAGCAACGTCCTGTGGGGGAAGGAGACCTGGAAGAGGGAAGCATTGCTGGGAGATGGCAAGCTCTTGGGCTAAGGCTCCAGAAATGGCCCAGGTAAAGGTGGTCCAGGACTTCCTTCTCAAGGCAGCCCATGACGGGGGGGGGGGTGCTTGGAGGCCTGCCAGAAGCCCAGAAAAGCACTGCCTGGCCCTTTGTGGCAGAGCAGCAGCCCCCCATCCCCACCCATTTCTTGGACCTTTGGGTGTTTGTTCCTGTGTGCGCACGCACACACACACCCCAGCAGCTCCCCTTTGTTGTTACAGCAGACTTGCTTCAGCCAGCTTGTTGCCTCTCTGCCCCTTGCACCTGCCCTGATGCTGCCGCCACAGGATTTACCCAGCAGGCCAGGTGTGGACCCCCCAAGTGAGGTGGTCGGGACAAGGGCTTCCTACACCAAGGCAGAATTTGCTGGGTTTGGGAAGAACTTACACTGAGCAGCCCCCCTTGGCTCTGCGTGTGACCGAAGACTTTCTGCACCGTGCCTTGCCTGAGAGGGAGGACGGCCTGGCAGGCAAACTTGTGTGCGTTCCAGGGGTGGAGCGGGTGGCAGGGCTTGGTCACCAGCAAGATGTCGGAGAAGAGGAAGAACATCCGGCGCTGCAGCTCCTCCCCCTTGGGGGGCACCACCGATAGCCAGCCTTCCCGGAGAAACCAGCGCCCTGTGACAAAATGTGGGGCCACAGAGGCCAATTGGGGTGTTGGGACTGCTGGAGTCAGGCAACCTCCCCAGACCCACTGAGGGCGGCAGCTCCCATCAGACAAAAGGCTCCCTGACAGGCCGGGACCCTGTGGGGCCTGTAAGCTGCTCTCATGGCCTTTTCAGCCATCGTGCATGGCTCTGTCTTGATGAGACTCTGCCCTCTTTCTCCCCAGCATGGAGGAGGTTTGCTACTGTCACACCAGAGGAATCTGCTGAGATTACCAGGCTCCCCTACTTCACAGGGTGGTTGTGAGGATAAAAGGGGGACAGGGAGAACCACGTATGTCGCCTTGTATTCCTTGGAGAAAAGGGGGAACACAAAGGCAAAACCAACAATAGCCAGAGCACAGGTTGACTTGCACACCAGCCCTTCCAGGGCAGCATAAAGGCTTCTCACTCCCGACTGGCCCTTGCAGGGACCTGGTGACCCTTCGCCTGAGTATCTTTCCCTGTCTCTTGGGTTTCCCTCCAGCTTTTCATCTGTGACAAAACTGACTCGGAGGTCCTTAGCCACAGAGAACAGGGAGAGGAAGGACAAGGCAAGCCCACCCACCCCTATGCACTGGGGTGGATAAAGCCTGGAGGTGGGAGCAACAAGGGTGCAGAGCAGGATGTGGCCGCAGATGCCTCACTGCCAGCCTGGAAAGCCCTTTCATGATAAGAGAACCAAAGCGAAGGTTTGTAAGTCACAACTAATAAACGCCCAAAAGAATCTTGCCTTCTGAGGCTGGCATGTGAGTCACCCATAGAGTAGGATTTGCCAGCATCCCTAACATGGAATCCTAGGACTGTGGAGTTGGAAGGCGACCAGAGGGTCATCCAGTCCAGCCCCTGAAATGCAGGAGTCACAGCTGCCTGAAGCTTCCCAAGCAATGCTGGATTGAGGAGCATCCCAAAGCTGCAAATCCACGGGGAGCTCCTCTGTCCTCAGCAGCATAGCAACCGGACATTGGCTGTGCTGCCTTGCAGCGCCAGTACCAGGAACCAACTCCTGTGCCACCCTGCAGCTCCAATGCTGCCCTTCAGCGCCCCCCATGACGCCCTGTGGTCCACCCAATGCAACCTGCGCTTTATGCCCAATGCACTGCCCCCTCCTTGTGCTGATGGTGGGACTCTGTTGCTAAGGGCTGCTCCATGGCTGCTTGTCTTGTGAGGAGCTGAGCAGCATCCTTGACGCTGTTGCTCTTGCCTAGCTCAAAGGCCACTCCATTTCAGGTGAGGCCACTGCTCTCCCCACTGAATTATCACGGAGCAAGGGATCCAAACTACAAGAAAGAAGATTCCACCTAAACATTAGGAAGAACTTCCTGACAGTAAGAAGATTCCACCTAAACATTAGGAAGAACTTCCTGACAGTAAGAAGATTCCACCTAAACATGAGGAAGAACTTCCTGACAGTAAGAGCTGTTCGACAGTGGAATTTGCTGCCAAGGAGTGTGGTGAGTCTCCTTCTTTGGAGGTCTTTAAGCAGAGGCTTGACAACCATATGTCAGGAGTGCTCTGATGGTGTTTCCTGCTTGGCAGGGGGTTGGACTCGATGGCCCTTGTGGTCTATTCCAACTCTATGATTCTATTCTATGATTATCCTTTTAAACTAAGCAGCAAAGCATTGGGAGAATTGCCTAAATCAGTGCAGGAGGAGGAGGTGGAATGATGGGGTCCAGGCAGAGGAAATGGGGGCTGAGCAAGGACGAGAAATGGGAGGTGGGAGTCTTTGGGGTGGAATCGCCAGAGACCACTCTGGCTCTAGCAAATGATCTCTGCTCCAGCTGCATCCCAGAGCAACACAAGCATGAACCCAAAGCGTCCTGCAGGGAGCAAAGATGGGTGGTTTACCCAGCTGAAGGGTGGCTTCTCTGCTGCCTGCCCTGCCGCTTTGTCTCCTGTTACCAAAGCAGAGGACCCACCTGGAGCCAGAATCCGGGTCTTCTGTCCCTTAAGCAGCTTCTGAACCCGGCGCATCTGGTTGGCATTGTCACGGCAACGAGATATTTCCTGGACTCGGTGATATGCCTCAGAGACAGACTTCAGAACTCCTGCAAGGACCACAACATCACCTGAGACAAGGCACCCACCCACACCCAGGGGAAGTAGTTTGGAGCCTCTGTGGCTCAAGGGAGTTAATATTATTTACTTGATTCCCCTCCCCCTGTCCTCCAGCAAGTCCCCCAGGCTGCTCACAGAAAAGTTAATATCCTACCTGTCAGCTGCTTAAAGTCAGAGCTTTCTGGGTGGGTATTTCCTACCAAATCCTTCAGCAAGTGCCTGTACCTGCCAAAGAGAGGGGGCACTGTCAGGTGGGGTGGGGAAGGAGGGGCAGGTGCACGCCTTCCGGCTCAGCCCTCCAGCAGCCTCCTCCCTGGGGCTGAGGGGGTGCAGCCAGGCTGTGGAGCCCCAGTGGGGCCAGCTGAGCAGCCCCTCCCAGGTGCGATGAGCACAGCATCCACCTACCGAGAGAGCCTCTGGAGGGGCAGCGGGAGCAGCTGTTCCAGGCAAAGGCCCCCAAACTCTGGCCGGGACTCCTGGAGCTTCTTGAAGCGGGAAAAGGGTTTGTTCTTCCGCACCTGCCTCTGGAAGGGCAAGAGAGGAGAAGCAGGAGTCACTAGCTGACCTGCCACCCACTCCCCACCCCAGGTCAGCACA